ATTTTCATGCCTAAAGTGAGACTAGAACTCACTGTCTTCTGTGGAGTAGCTCAAAATCCCCCAGCTGGCTTTCATGCCTAAGGCAGGACTAGAACTCACCGTCTCCTGGTGACTGGCCCAAAGTCACCCAGCTATTTTCATGCCTAAAGTGGGTTCCTTGCAATAGCTCAAAATCCCCCAGCTGGCTTTCATGCCTAAGACTGGACTAGAACTCACAGTCTCCTGGTTTCTAGTCTGATGCCTTCCCCACTAGACCAAACTGGATCGCTTTGCTACAGTGTCGAATCATATTTATATTCTAATTTGCGTAACTCTGTATGGAGAGGTAGCATCTCTGCCCCTTATAGGCTTTTGTTCCAGCCGTCTCTGGCACCATCAATTTGTTTTTTTTCCTGTGAAAAAGGCTGTTGGACCTCTGAAGAACTCTAGGGAGAGAAATTTACCCGACATCCTTCTTTCCATTTTCTGGGTGGTTTCTTCCAGGCCCAGTGTCAAAAGAGTCAGGCGTGCTTCAGATAGGGATAAATTAAAAAAAAAATTCCCTACAGTCCTTATGAGGATTAACGGTATTATTGGTATCCCTCGCCCACCTGGTGGCTGATCTGCCATAATGGAGAGCATGCTGGCTGGGGAATTCTGGGAGTTGAAGTCCAGCCATCTTAAAGCTGACAAGGTTGAAGAACGCTGGGCTAAAAGGACGAAGCTAAAAACGCCTGGTCTAAATGGGCAGGAATCTGGATATGGGGTACAAAAGCAGAAGGGCTTTGGAGTAGGATTCATATTCTAATGCAGAAAATTCTTAAAAGTAAAGATAAAGATAACGCCAGAAACTTTTCCTCTGGGCTTAATGGAAAAAAAATTGGGGAAAAAATTGGGAACTTTGATCTTACGTATGTTGACAGCAGCAAGACTATTGTAGGCACAAAAATGGAAGGACGCTTCGATTCCCACCATGGAGGAATGGCTGCGGAAGCTGAGGGAGTTGGCAAAGATGGCTAAATTGACTGTTTTGATTCTTCTTCTTCTTGTGCCATATCCGTTATCGGACGTTGACGATCCTGTTTTTATCAGCAGCCGCACGAAAAAGTGCTGCTGAGTTTTGTCCAAACCAGTCCCTTAGATTTTTGAAGCAACAATGTTCTTCTTCTGCCTGGACCTCGTTTGCCTTCAATCTTTCCCTGGAGGATTAAATGGAGTATGCCGTATTTTTCTGGGTGTCGCATCACATGTCCGAAATATTCTAATTTTCGTTTTTTAATTGTTTTGATGATTTCCCTTGGCTTTCCCAGGCGGCATATCACCTCCTCATTTCTGATCTTGTCAACCCAGCTTATAGGTAACAGCCGCCTGTAAATCCACATTTCAGATGCTTCCAGTTTCTTCAGGTGGCCTTCTGTCAGAGACCAACTCTCTACGCCATTAGAGCAGGATAGAAAAAAATATAGCATCTGACAAGCCTGATTTTCAGTCTTAGGCTTATATCTGCAGTCACGACATAAGCCTAAGACTGAAAATCAGGCTTGTCAGATGCTATATTTTTTTCTATCCTGCTCTATGGAGTAGAAAGTTGGTCTCTGACAGAAGGCCACCTGAGGAGACTAGAAGCATTTGAAATGTGGATTCTGGGCTTTGTGAAACTTTTATTTTTACTGATTAGATTGATTTGTTGTTATAGAAATGGCTAGTTTATACTACTATGGAATGCTTCATTCTACTGCAGACATGTCAAACACAAGGCCCGGGGGCCGGATTCAGCCTGCGAAGTGGTTTCATATGGCCCGCAAAGCCATCCTGGAAACAGTGAGGGGACGGCCCCCGCTGCCTTGGCCCTGGCCCAGGCCGGCTGGGAGGGAACCAATGTACAATTTTGTGGTGGCCCTCTATGCTGAAACGCATTCAGTCTTAGCTCCAGAAGGCCGTCCGGAAACAGCGAGGGACCGGCCCCTGCCGCGTCGGACCCGCCCCCTGGGTGTATGCTGGGGAGGTGTCACCCTTTCTGAGGAATGAAGAAATGGACCATGCCTTGGCACTTGCCCCGATCCCACCCCCTTCTGCCAGAGACCCTCAGATCTGTCCCACTCCTGCCCAGGCCCCCCACAGGCATCCTTGACACGAACGATGTAGAGCTGGCCACGCCCACCCAGTAGGCCATACCCACTCCATCCACGCCCACCCAGTAGGCCGCACACACCTTGGCCACACAAACACACATCCCAAGGGCAACAGCAATGTTGATGCGGCCCTCAATGAAATTGAGTTTGACACCCCTGTTCTACTGCAACAGAGGAAGTTGGAAGCCAATGCCTTTTCTTTTTCCCCTTTTCCCCCCTCCCTTTTCTTTCCCTTTTCCCTCCCCACTGTATCCTACTATTTGCTTTGTATTTTGCATTTTACTCAATCTTCTATATAAATAAAAATGTAAAAGTTCGTTTGTTCAAAATCTCAAATCTCCGAAAGTTCTTCACCGATTGCTTTGAAATTTTGACACAACGTTGCATTCGAATACGCGCGTGTTTTTATATACCTACTATTATATAGATGTCACACGTGTGACAGGTAAAAACATGCTTTTTTAAAAAAAACAGCGCCATCTGTTGGACATAAATTTAACCAGACTGAGCCACAGCAACGCGTGGCCGGGTACAGCTAGTAATCTAATAAAATGTATAACAATAATAAGGCATAATGGCTTGAGGATAACTGTATTTTTCCTCTCCTAGCCGTATCATCAACAAGCACACAGACGAGTCCCTAGGCGATTGCTCCTTCCTCAACACCTGTTTTCACATGGACACCTGCAAGTACGTGCATTATGAGATCGACGCCTGCACAGACCTGGATGCCCCCTGCGGGCGGGAGCTTCTTTTAGGCCAAGAGCTGGCCCTGCCCCAAGCTGTGGGGAGAGATTCCAGCGTGGATCGGCTCTTCCCCCCACAGGTATACAGGGACAGGCCAAAAGAGGTTGGGATGCCTGCCGAACGAGGCACCGGGCAAAAGGCTAAGCAGGGAAAGAGCTGAAAATACCGGACAATAGCTTTACATATTAATTGCTGACAAAAAAAGGGTCGTAAAATCAGGCACACACGCAGGGTGAGCTGCTTTGCGACTCTCCTAACTGAAGACACAAAATTGCAGGCTCAGTTATAGTCATAAATTGAGGACTCTCTGTACTGGGATTAGCCAACCCGAAGTTTGAATTGCACGGATAATAAATGCCTACGGAAATTCTGAGGTCGCTGTTGTCCCAAAGGTGCTTTTTTCAAGAGGCAACTGGACCTTTTTTTTTTCTTTTTGTCTTGAAGACGTTTCGCTTCTCATCCAAGAAGCTTCTTCAGTTCTTCAATAATGCCGATGAACTGAAGAAGCTTCTTGGATGAGAAGCGAAACCT